GCAAGGAGACGCGTGACAGTAGGACTGGCAGCACGAAGAGAGTCAGACTCCGGGTCAGCAAGAGCAGGAAGAGAGGACGCTGGTGGAGACGGCAGTGGGACACGCTGTGGAGCAGTAGAGGGATGCAGGGTCATATAGTGAGTGCCAAGGACAGGAGGAGGACGCTGACGTGGAACACGACGACCAGCGCGGACAGCGCGGACAGGCGACTCTGGACGCGACTCAGACGACTCTGGACGAGTCTAAGGCGACGGAGGACGAGACTCAGGCTCACGACGCTCCGTAAGACCTCCCGTCAGCGCAGTGTAGGGAGAAGGACCAGGAAGTGGAGAGACTGGCTGTAACTGTGACTGCGACTGGACAAGCGGTGGACTCAGTAGGGGAGGAGTAGGACCAGGAGAGGGCGGAAGGCCAAGAACCTGCTGAAGGAGCGGAACGTAGTACGGCCGTGGCCGCTCAGCACCTCCAGCTCCAACCCCCTCAGCAGGGCCAGTCCCAGCAGCTCCAGCAGCACCGCCAGCAGCAGCAGGGTCCCCAGCAGCTCCAGTACCAGCAGCACCTCCAGCAGTGCCAGCAGCACCACCAGCAGCAGCAGCACCTCCAGCAGCTCCAGCAGCACCAGTACCAGCAGCACCTCCAGCAGCGCCAGCAGCACCGCCAGCAGCAGCAGTACCACCAGCAGCTCCAGTAGCTCCAGCACCAGTAGCACCTCCAGCAGCGCCAGCAGCACCTCCAGCAGCGCCAGCCGCACCGCCAGCAGCAGCAGCACCTCCAGCAGCTCCAGCAGCACCAGAACCAGTAGTACCTCCAGCAGCGCCAGCAGCACCTCCAGCAGCAGCAGCACCTCCAGCAGCTCCAGCAGCACCAGTAGCACCTCTAGCAGCGCCAGCCGCACCGCCAGCAGCAGCAGCACCTCCAGTAACTCCAGAAGCTCCAGAGTCCACAACACCGGGAGCGCCACTCCGGAGACTGCAGCGCCTAGCGTACCACTCTCGGAGCTGCTGGGGAGAGGGCAGCTCCCGCCTAGGAGGGGAAGCACTAGCACCAGCTCCGGCACCACTCCGAGCTCCAGAAGCACCTCTCCTGAGGCTGCAGTACTGTAAGTACCACTCACGCAGCTGCTGCGAGGAGAGGCCTCCCCCAGGTGCAGCACGCTCAGGCTCAGTACTCTCAGACGTAGCACTCCCAGGCTCAGCACCCCCAGGCTCAGCACCTCCAGACTCAGCACCCGCAGGCTCCGCACCCCCAGGCTCAGCACCCCCAGACTCAGCACCCGCAGGCTCCGCACCCCCAGACCCCGCACCCCCAGGCTCAGCACCCCCAGACTCCGCAACCCCAGGCTCCGCACGCTCAGGCTCAGCACCCCTGGCAGGACGAGAGTCGACAGCTACCTCGACAGGCTCAACCGGGTCTACCTGGGACACACCTGAGGGAGCGGCACCCTGAGGGGGGAGGGGGTCTACCACAGCAGCACCTGGCGCGAGGAAGAGAGGCGGGGGGGGGAGCGGGGCAGTGCGGTAGGGGAAGAGGCGGTAGTAGGGCACGAACTCGTCAAAAGTGACGTCCTGAGAGGGCAGGACACGGCGCGAGGTGGCGTGGTAAAACTGCCAACCAGACGCGTCCGGGACAAAGCCAAGGAAGACACAAGGAACAGCGCGGGAGGAGAGCTTGTCCGCGAACGTATCGCGAACAAAAGCTCGGGATCCCCAGACCCGAAAACGCGACGCATCGCCAACCTCTCCCGTCCAACGCAGTGTCGGCGAAGTCTCCGGAACGGAGGTTGAGCTGATGCGCAGCGTATCGGACCGCAAACGGCCACAGAAAGTGGGGGGCAGCCGCATGGATCAAGGAGGTACGAGCGACCTCCATGACCAAACCAATGCGGCGCTCAGCAACCCCATTCTGCTGTGGAGAGGCTGGAAGCGTGAACGACTGGCGGATGCCGTGCTCCGCACAGTAGGCTGCCAAGAGGTCAGAGGAGAACTCACCACCTCTATCAGAGTGCAGACGCAGGACAGGAAAGTCCGAGTGGAACCGCTCACTGAGCTGGAGACGAGAAGCGTGGATCCAAGGGATCAAAACATCAGGGACCTCACCCTTGGTGCGCAAGGGGAAGACCGTGGTGTAGCGCGAGTAGTCGTCAACAACGATCAGGAAGTACCTCTCCTGACCCTGTCCACGGACGCGGGCTGGGCCCCACACGTCCATGTGGAGCGTCTGCAAGGGAGCAGTCGTCGGGGGAAACGAGGAGGAGTGAGGAGCGGCGCGCTGCCGCCCCTCGACACAGGGAAGGCAGGGAGGAGCAGGCGAGGGTGGGAGTGGAGGGAGAACCCTGGGAAGACCAGAGACAAGGTACCGGTTGTGCATGGCACGAAGGCGCTGCACTGACGGGTGACCAAGACGGTGGTGCCAGAGGACAGTCTCGTGTGCCAGAGAGCGACACGAGCAGGGGGCAGACAGCTGACCTGACGCAGACGCAGACGCAGCTACCTGTGGGGACTCAGTGGTCAGTGTGTACAGGTCCGACCCCGGCTGCCGAGTGAAGGTAGCCAGGTGGCGGCCCGTCCGAGCGCACGTGCAGTGTGTCACACGCTCGTAGGCAGGGGTAAACTGGTGGACACCCCCGTCCTGGAGCGCACTACCCGCCACCAAGTTCGTAGAGAACGAGGGGAGGTAGAGACCTGACAGAGTGCCCGACGGGACCGCAGGACAAGGGAGAACAGTAGAGGAGGTCGCAATGACCGGACCCCCAGAGGGGTCAGCGAGGGAGACTGCAACCGGCCGAGCAAGCTGCTCAAGGGCAGTGCGGTCACGAAAGAAACAGCGGGGAGCGCCTGAGTCCAGTGTGAAGGTGTGCAGTGCCTCAGTAGACGCAGTACCAGAGGGCGCAGACTCACGAGTACCTAGAGCAGCAGCCTCACCAGCACCTGGGGCAACAGACACACGAGCACCTAGTGCAGCAGCCTCACCAGTACCTAGAGCAGCAGACTGGATACCGGGGTCAGGCGGCACACACAGGTGACAGGCACTCTCAGCACTAGTAGGAAATGCATACATGGCAATGAGGATAGCATCATAGTCAAGAGCATAGATATCTACCCTCTGCCTAAGCAGCTCCACCCAGTCGGGGAGCTCAGCCACGTCGCCAAACTCTGTACGCCAGGCGTCGCTCAGACGGGCGAAGCAGCGGGACTCTGTGTGACCAAACGTCCCGCAAGGCTGACCAGTCCGAGCACCAGTGCGAATGACGTACGGGCAGCGAGCAGTACCCCGTGACCCTCCACGCTGAGCGTACCACTCACGAAGCTACTGGGGCGTGAGGGACTCACTCGGACGTCGCGGGAGCTGCATCTGGCCACCGCCAGGAGCAGCAGTAGCAGTAGTAGCAGCAGTAGTAGTAGCAGCAGCGCGGCCACCCCTACAACCCCAACCAGCATACCACTCACAAAGCTGTTGGGGCGTGAGGGACTCACGCGGACGGCGCTGGAGCTGCATCTGGCCACGCCAGGAGCAGCAGTAGAAGTAGAAAGAGCAGTAGCAGCAGGAGCAGCAGTAACAGCAATACGGGCAGGGCAGTGCTCACCAGTGGCGAGAAGGGCAGGCGTACGACGGTGGTAACGGCGAGGCCGCTACCACTGCAGGGCGAGGGCTCCGCGGCAGCTGCAGGGGCGGCTGCTCCAGGGGCCAGGGGCGGCTGCAGAGGTCCAGGGGCGGCTGCTGCAGGGGCAGCTGCTGCAGGGGCGGCTGCTGTAGGGGCGGCTGCTCCAGGGGCGGCTGCTCCAGGGGCCAGGGGCAGCTGCTCCCTTTTTTTTTTTTTTTTTTTTTTTTAATAATTAATTATTTATTTTAGGGTTTGGCAGAGCGCACTCGGCGCTGCAGAGGCGGCTCGCGGGCTGCAGGGTGGCTCGGGCAGCAGCGAGGGGGGGGGGGGGCGGCGCGCGGCTCCCCAGGGCGCCGCGACGGGGCAGGGGGGGGGGGGGGGGGGGGGGGGGGGCGCGCGCGGCTCCCAAGGGCGTCGCGACGGGGCAGCGGGGGGGTCGCGCGTGGCTCCCTAGGGCGTCGCGACGGGTCAGCGGGGGCCGAGCGCGGCTCCCCAGGACGTCGCGACAGGGCAGCGGGGGCCGAGCGCGGCTCCCCAGGGCGTCGCGACAGGGCAGCGGGGGCCGAGCGCGGCTCCCCAGGGCGACGCGACGGGACAGCGGGGGTCGCGCGCGGCTCCCCAGGGCAGCGCGACGGGGCAGAGGCAGCGCCCACGGGGCAGAGGCAGCGCCCACGGGCGACACGCGGCTCGGCAGGGCAGCGCGCTGGCTGCAGGGGCGGCTCTCGGGCCTGACGGGCCTGCAGAGGCGGCTCGGGGGGGCCTGACGGGTCTGCAGAGGCGGCTCGGGGGCCTGACGGACCTGCAGGGGCGGCTCGAGGGCCGTACTAGCTTGCAGGAGGCAGCGCGAGGGCTGCAGGACGGCACGCGGGCAGACCGAAGGGCGGGTCGCACGGGGGCGCACGAGGGCGCACGAGGGCGCACGAGTATAGAAAGGCGCACGAGGGCGCACGTAAGGTAGGACGCACGAGGGCGCGTCTAGCGGAATAGTGGGCCCGTAGGAGAAAGCGGTCCTAGGTAGCAACCTAGGCTCGTGATACCATGTTAGAATGTAGAACTGAACGAGAATGTGTGAAACTAGGCAGCAGGGTGATACAAGTAGGAAACCCTAGCAATGTTGTACCCCCTAAGGCTAAACCCACTATAGCCTACACAATATGAACATGTATAATGTTTGACAATGATATCTGCTGCTTGTCTGGACCAGTCTAGGACACGCTGCTGTTTGGTCTTATCTCCAAGGCCATTGACACTAAGGCCCGCGAAACTGATTAGGCTTTTCTTACTCATTTGATAACAAGGTGAGAACCCCTACGCATCCACAGGGTAAAGAAGAGAACGGCACCGACTATCATGAGGCCTACTGCTGCTGATGCTGCACGTCTACCGAGCTGCTCCTCCTTCAGAATCCATAGTCTTTCCTGGTGACGTTGAGACTCGCTTTCTCGAGAGAGGCACGTGTAGCAGAGCCGAGCTGTTCCAGATGAATGAGGTGGTTGGCCGTGGTGATGTGATCCGCCGCAGACATGAAGCTCTTTCCCTTGGCCTTCCCACAACCCACTTGCGTGCAGATCCACTCCTCTCGGTTTCCACCCGTGGAGATAAGCACGATCGCCGGATCCAGCAGAATAGGAGTGATCAGCGGCGAAGCCGGGAGAGAGGCAGCTGCATGATACCACTTGACAGTCAGCAGAGGTAAGAACGTGACAGCAAGTGAGAACATGATTAGAATAGCAGTTACCATTAATACGATGCACCCTCCCCAGGGTAAGGTTCCACTTCCCTATGTTGTTTTGCCGCTCCGTCGTGAAATCAGCATGACTGACACCATAATGATGTCCACCGCAGAGCAGGCAAGACAGCGCAGGGAAGTGGACCAAGTAGCGACGGCCGATCTCGGTTGGGTCCTGGAAGACGTGACGCCAGCGGTAACGGTCGCCAGGGTGCGGGATCACAAGACCCTTGACGACATCAGTATCAGCACCAGTGACCGGGTGCAGAACGCGGTGGAAACAGAGACCATCCTTGAACGCCGAACGCTTCCGGTTCCGCAACTGGTAAACTACCATCAGTTCCCGCAGCATCTCAGGCGTCTTCGTCGCAGTTACGTCGCGGATCAAAACTTCGATCGCCTGAGCATTCGTCGCCTTCTCCCGCACGAACGCTGGGTTGTCGGTATGCTGCCAGTAGAGTCTGAAGACCGTGCCATTCGGACGCGTGTATTCCACCTCTTTCGATCTGATGCTCATGATATCATCTTCACGCAGGAGAGAGACTTGCAGCCGACTATAACGAGTCTTCGCCACGTATGCCGGGAGAAGCTCCTGGAACTTCGCCGAGTCAGCAGCACCGTCAGAGAGCATGGACGACCACACACGCTTCATCAGGGTACGGACCGTGGTGATGACCGAAGCCACTTCCAAGGAGAGGGCCATGGGGAGCAGAAGAATCGCCGTGTAGCGAACGTGGTTGAAAGCTTCCGTCTTGATGTCAACTTCGAGCTCCTCGTCGGAGTCGTCCTCAAGGAACCCGCTGTCAGGAGCAGCCGTGCGTAAGGAGCGCAGCTTTTCTTCCAAGGAGAGGCCGGAGCCGCTCGCCGTAGCTTCAGCATAGGTCACGTTGCCGGTTTCTTCCACCTTGCCTTTGCCTTTGCCTGCAGGATCCGATGAGGCAAGAGCAGGAACAGGCGACGAGGTAGCAGCTCCTGAAGACATAGACGGGAGCTCCAGCGATGAGGCCTCCAGCAGAACCTTGGACTTCCCCTTGGGAGGCATCATGCAAGGATGAGAACTGAAAAGCAGGAAGGCTGCAAAGCAGACCAATGATGTCTGAACTGATGCCTTAACTCTGAGCACGGACTGATTAAGTAGGAAAAATGCTGAAGTGTTGGACCATTGCTCTTGCTGCTGATGGTGAAACACCGAGGTTGAAGCCTCGGGATCATGCTTCGGAAAAACCTTAATAGGAGCAATGTAGTCATTGTTAAGCAGCCGAAGACACAAAGACGAGAACCGAAACCTTGAAGTTAGTAGCCAGGTAAAAGGAGCCTTGAAGTTAGATGCCTGACAAGAAACTGGATCTCGGTTAACGAAAGATACGATGTCCGACGTGTAGACACAAAAGTAGTATCGATCGATGCGCCTTGTAACGAGGAGTCCAGATCTATAATTGTTAAGGCCAACTGACAAGGAACCTTCACGGGATCTGGACCCGAAGGTGCGCGGCAGAATCCATGGCGGACTCATAGCTATCTCCTAGCTATTTATTTCCACAGTTTCTGCGGACACAATCGCTTACAATCTAGAAGTTAAAATATCGAATCGATGATCCCTTCTTCGTCGTTTTCATTGAATGTTGGGCTGGTTTGATATGGAGCCTCTGATTGGCTGCGGAGCTGATTCGTGCAATGATTCGGTCAAGCTGCAAAATTTCCCGCCAAAAAAGGGACTATAGGGTATGGGCCAACCCTAGGAGATATCGGAAAATTCTACTCAGGGGGCAAAAGAGACTCTCTCAGCGAGGGCCTCTAACCCGGAACACTTGTACCTCTGTGTTTGGCGAAGTTCCACCCAGCACGTGCAGCACAAATATCAGTGGAAGTTTGGTCTGTTCTTTCGTGAACATCCGACGCGTGCGAAACCCGTGGACTGGTCTGGTGACCACAATTCACCCAAATCAATGCAATGCACCAGATTCTTGACACGCAAGGACAGAAGCCAGGGGTCACCGAATCAGGGCAGCCTGACTCTGAATGCAGTGCGTAAACACAGGCACTCGTCAACAGCAGCAAATCTTCATCATGGCCAACCCTATTGCCTGCCTTGTCCCAATCGCCTGCCACGACTGAATAAAATGAGCCTACATACACGAGATGCGGAGCCTTTTACTGGGTGAAAGCAGTACTTTTCTGAGTACTGCTACCCCCTTGGGACGGTGGCACCTGGACGTGAGTCCAAATGCCCTGGCTTATCGGGAATACATTTGGATAGTCAAATGCAAAATGTTGTAGATACATGTGACGATGATGTTGGGGCAGGTTTCAAAGCTGGGTGGCGAACTGAGACAAGTTTGATTTTGGGGTTTCCGAACCTAATTTCCCGCCAATTCCTCATTTTTTCTACCACTGAGTACCCTTGGACTTATGCTCCCCCGAACAGTGCCATCGTAACCGGGTAAAACATTATCGCCTAAGGATGGGGAAATCAGTTGGGCTCTCCGTAGATTCCCCTTGTCCCCGTGTATTAGTTCCGTGCGAGATGTTGTTTTCTGACAAAATCGCTTTGTTTCCTTCCACCGCCTCCTGTCATCGCCGCCTTAGTAGTAGATCGGCACATCATCCGCAGCAGCAACATCGAACAGCATTACATCATCCGCGGCACATGCGCCTCTCGAACAGGCAAGCATAGCGTCCAAGCAGCGGCAGCAGTAGTAGAATGCATTGGAACATGCACTTTACCCCAGGCTGAAACCATAACCCCCCCAACAAAATTCACAACGCCTCAGACTATGCCCAAATTTTGGTTTTCCTTATGTGTGCGCACTAACCATTGCCGAGCAATGGCTACGACGTGTTGCGATCCACCCGGGTCGGGTCGACCAACCCCCGATCCCGAATTTCTAGGAAGCCCGCACTGCCTTCCTAACCGACCAGGGCGACTCGACCCAACCCAACCCGGGTCTGCCCGACCCGGGTCGACCAGGTCGGGTCGACCCGGCCGACCAAACCCAACCCAACCGAGCTGTAGCAGGTTACCCGAGCCGGCAAACTCTGTGGTTCTCGCGTGGATGTCGCCTGTATCTCGTCCAACAATTTGATACCCGGTAATATCGCGCACGTCTAGGGTTGCGACCTTGTGTGTTTCCCCAAAGTTGGCGACGTGGTGGACTTCGCCAAACATAGCCCAACCCACCTTCTACCCGCACAGCAATTGCGCCCCCACTACGTCGCAGTTGCAAGGAAGGTAATGGAAAATTCTTGGTTTTCTCGAGTCGCCTTTCTGTTGGGTTGGGTCGGGTCGGGTCTATGCGACCTGGTCGACCAGACCCGACCCAACCCGAGTGGGTCGCAACACGTCGTAACTTCAAACAGTGCTTCGGAGGGTGAGCATTGTTTGACATGTGCTGAAAGAGTGGAATACAATGTCCCCCCATTCCCATTGGTGGTGTTCTCTAGGCACTGGCGGAGGGGGAGCGAGGGGAAATATGAATCTTCCCCTCTCTGCGTTTTTTGGTTAGACACGTCGGTCATCCCGTAAAACCGTGCCGAGCCACCTATTTGCCCTCCGAACCAAAACGAAGGTAAATGCCAACAAAACGCTCATTTACCCTCAGGGATGTGGACCCCTTGGAAGCTGCACATTGACCCTCCCCACCTTCCTCCTCAGGCAAATTTTGCCTCTCTCGCCTTGCCTTCCGGCAACCACTCTTCACGGGGAAGTGGGACAGCGAGGGAAGAGAGGAGCTGGGGGTGGGAACACCGACGTTTTACCCGTGAAACTAAACACTGCTTTACTGCACGCCCCACACACACGCGCAAGAACCAGGGGAAAAAAATTCACGTCCCCTTGCAAACCCTAGTGAGGTGTTTGTTCCTGGTGAGGTGTTTTTTTCGACAAGGAGTCACCCTAGTTTTTGTTTGTAACCGTTTTTTCCTGTTCGCGCCAAATGCGATACCCCCGTTTCTGGACCAGGAAAATGTACCCACAGGTTCTTCATTTACCGTCGGAGCCTTCCCTCCCTTGTCGTATGCTCTCGCATTGCTTGCCGAACCTGATTGAACATTGCTCATGCACACCTTCCAAGGATTCTTTGAAGAAACCTCGACCGTTGAGCATTCCTCTAGATAAACCAACTACATTGTTACCCTGAAAGTACTTTTAACATTGCCGAAGCATTCTATGAACAATGTTTTGGCAGTTTGAATTTTGTTGAGCACCGGCTGCACCACCGGCAGCAGCACTCACCAGGACTGGGTCAGACAGCCGCGGCGCCACAGGCCGCAGCAGTGGTATCATCCGCAGCAGTGCTATCTCCAGAGTGTTAGGGTTGGTTCGCCCAACCACGGAACCTAAGGCGAAAGCATCTACGACGGCGGAATGACGGCGAAATGGAAGCGCGTGTGTGAAACGGTGGAAATCGGCCTACGGTGGGGAATAGAGGCTACGGCGTGAGAAGCGGGAGAGAAATCGAGAAGAAATGTGCTAGAAGGAGGGAGAGAGAAGGAGAAGCATCGAGAATGAGATTGACGAGGGGAAAAATGTGCTTCGAGACCAAGGCGCGTTCGAGAAAGTTCGGGATTCGGTCTTGAGGAGTGTTCACCGAATTCGGTTCGGTTGCGTGTGCGACTAGGGGTGAAACGAGGCGCACGCGGTTACTTGGGAAACAAGTGAAGTTACGAATCGCATTTTGTGTCTTGCTTGACTATAAACCTGTTTGTACTCATTCTGGAAATACAACATTGATCAGTTGGAGATTCTGAAAATTGCTGAAGTGTGTATTGACAACTTCAAGCAGAGCTGCGCATATCATTGGATTCGGGAGATCGTGGAGAACACGATAGGCGATAGCAAGTAGACTATTGCCGACTAAGGTGCTTACGATCCTGAGAACTGGTATCAGAGCTGGTTTAAGTGGCGTTTAAGCATTCAAGTGCAGAGCGAAGCTTTCGAGATGGTCGGCGGACAATCGGAAGCTAGTTCGGGCTCCTCTGTGAGTATTGGAGATCCCCAAGTGAAGGCACTTCTGGAAATGCTAGCGCGAGGGGTGGTGACAAAGCCCACCATGGGGCTCAGTGAAGCCCAACGATTCCACGGCCAACACTACAGCACGTGGAGATTGAAGTTCATAAGGAGGGCGAAGGAAGTCGGTTTTTGGGAGTACTACCGACCGGATGGAGAAGGTGACGCAGCCGCGCGTAAGGCGAGATCGGATGAAGAAAAGGCGGAATACAAGAAGAGGAGTAAGCATGCGTTTTTTCAGTTATGTCATTCCGTTGCTGACGGGATTGCAGTGGGTTTGGACGAATTTGCAGAGCTTGAGAACTCTGCACAAGCGGCATGGGCGTACATGGAGTCTACATACATCGGGCACATGGACGCGAATATCGCCGATGTGAGGAAGAAGTTGCTGCTGATGACCATGGAGCCGAACCAGAAGATTATTGACTACGTCAACATGGCGAGGAGCTACAATGATGACTTGACTGCGATGGGCGAGCCGGAAACTGAAAGGGCGATGATAGGGCACATCGTCAACGGGCTACCTGAAGATTGGTCGGGTGAGCGGCCGGCGTTGATCTGCCACCCACCGGAGAATATGACGAAGCTTATTGCCATGCTTCAGGCGTTGGAGCGAGCAAGAGAGCATCAGAAGCGACAGGAGAAGTTTACAAGGGGCTTTGTGGAGGAGAAGCCTGCGTTGGTGAATGCGGCAGCTGCTGGAAGGAGCTCGGGAGCGTGCTACCAGTGTGGACAACTCGGGCATCGTGCGTTTGAGTGTGTGGAGAACCCGAGGAGTAGAAACTACAAAGGGAACGGTGCGGGATGGAGTGGTGGACAGCAACACGGAAGGTTCAATGGTGCGTGCCATCACTGCAAGAAAATTGGGCATCGTGCAATTGATTGCTACTTGAATCCCAACGGCCGTAACTACAAAGGACCGTTGAAGCAGGAGCAGCAGCAGAACGTGGAGGCCAAGGCTAACGTGGCAGAAGCGGAGAAGGAAGAAGAGGATCCGCTTTTGGGGGGAGCACATCTTGTGAACGTGGTGCGTTTACCAATGGAGGTTCGGCAGACGGACGGACGTGAGAAGACGACATGGTTCATGGACAGCGGATGCACGCGTCACATGACATTCAGGTCAGATTGGATGGAGAATGTGAGGGAGTCGAGTGAGGATTATATACTGCAAGGTAACAGTGGAAAGTTACCAGTGACAGGAGAGGGTGACGTGGTGCTGCGGAGTCCGTATGCAGTAGTGAAACTGGAGAGTGTGTTGCTGGTTGCGGATTTGAAGGTGAACTTGGTCAGTCAGTCACAGCTTGATGACTTGGGGTGCAAGATATTCTATGACAGTGGTGAGGTGACTGTGTTTGGTCCTGAGTGGGAGAAGTATGCTGATGGTTACTTCAGTGACGGGTTCTATGAGATGAACTTGGTCGCGACGAATGATATGGATGAGATCTATGAGGATCCTGAGTATGGTGAGATGGGAGAACTGGAGGAGTTATTGACTAAGGTTGATGAGAGTGAGGACTCGGATGATATGGCTGCGAGTGTGGAGGCAGCAGTGAAGCAGGAAGAGGAGATAGTGATCACGGATGCAGCAGCAGTAAACGGTGGAGATGGAGACGATGTCAACACTTTTGCAGCAGCGATCGTGGTTGAAGATGAAGCAGTAAATGCGAAGTATGTGGGAGTTGAAGCTGTGAAAGGGGACATCATGGTGAAAGGATCAAAGGCGAATGCAACTGCAAAGGGGCAAGTGCTTAAGGAGGATGAACGCGTTGAAGGGTACGAGACCCGAGAGGTGTTGGGTGTAAAGATGCCGAGGAGAAGCGAGAGGCATAAGAAAATCTCTCAAGGTTTGGATGTCAAGGCGCTCAACTACAAGACACGTAAGCAGAGGTTCAAGGTGCAGGAGCTGCAGGGGAGCGTGAAGCCGACTTAGACCTTGTGAAGGCTACAAGGAGCAGGGGAGCAGTGCGAGTGGTGTTCGTGGTTGACGAACCACAGGGGAGATTGTTAGGGTTGGTTCGCCCAACCACGGAACCTAAGGCGAAAGCATCTACGACGGCGAAATGACGGCGAAATGGAAGCGCGTGTGTGAAACGGTGGAAATCGGCCTACGGTGGGGAATAGAGGCTACGACGTGAGAAGCGGGAGAGAAATCGAGAAGAAATGTGCTAGAAGGAGGGAGAGAGAAGGAGAAGCATCGAGAATGAGATTGACGAGGGGAAAAATGTGCTTCGAGACCAAGGCGCGTTCGAGAAAGTTCGGGATTCGGTCTTGAGGAGTGTTCACCGAATTCGGTTCGGTTGCGTGTGCGACTAGGGGTGAAACGAGGCGCACGCGGTTACTTGGGAAACAAGTGAAGTTACGAATCGCATTTTGTGTCTTGCTTGACTATAAACCTGTTTGTACTCATTCTGGAAATACAACATTGATACCAATCAGATTCTGAAAATTGCTAAAGTGTGTATTGACAACTTCAAGCAGAGCTGCGCATATCATTGGATTCGGGAGATCGTGGAGAACAGGATAGGCGATAGCAAGTAGACTATTGCCGACTAAGGTGCTTACGATCCTGAGACAGAGCATCACCGTCATCGCCCTCGCGATGGTTTCGTCGCTTCCCCTTGTGCCTGAGACCCGTGCTGCCAAGGTCAAAAGCGCTCAATGTAAGATGCTCTGCAAGTCATTTCCCGCCACCCCCTCGTCCCAACACAGGCTATTGACGCGACTCCCCAGAAACCACTCCAAGTGTCTCCCCCCTTCCCTTTTCCTCCTCACTTGTTTGCCGCAAATGTTTGAACCCCTCTCTGCATGCATGCATCATGTGAAGTGTCTGAATCTCTTGCTATCTATGATCTGTCACGGTATAACACCCTGCTAGACCACTGGGCCAAAACAGGGGTTCCCCAGACACGCAGGGGTAGAATAGCCTTTCAAGTTCAACCCTGCAGATGTTACACCCGCCCCCCTGGTGCCAACGTCCTCGTTCAACGAAACTCGGCCCCTACGCTGGTGCGCCAAGCCACAGGAGGATCTTTCACTGGATTCTCTGTGTTACCACATTCGGATTTGATGAGCAGATGTGGCCAGCCGAATTTTGAACCCTGGGCCCTGATACCAGTATAACGCCCCGCTAGACCACTGGGCCAAAACGAGGGTTCTTCAAAGGTGCAATGGTGGCCTTTCAAACTTCAGTGTAAGCCTGCAAGCGTTTCGCAGGGTCCGTAGATTTTGACCTTTTAACGGTCATCGTAACCAGCAACAAGAACTCAGACTTGCCAACGCGTTGCGGGTGTCTTTGCAAGCACTCCCTGACATAAAAAGGGCACTATCAGCTTGACAACCAGCACTGCGGCTGCTATCGTGCCCCCTTCTCACGCCACGCTCCCCCCTTGTCCCTTGCCCAGCACCCGGGCCCCCTTTTCCCCTTTCCCTCTCATCCCCCCACCCCCCACCCCGCACCCCCCTCCCCCCCCCCCCCCCCCGCTCCCCTTCCCCAATCCCCCATCCCTACACTCCCCCCGTTTCTTGCCCCTCTACTATATCCCAGATTAGCATGGTCTGCTATCCAGGGAGAATGACTGCGCAGGGTGCGTGCGTATCTCTCGCAAGCACCAAGCATACCGTACAGCTGGCATGCCCAATCCACCTTCCCATGCCACTACCGGGCTTGCTGTGGACGACGAGTGGGCAGAACGTATCCCTTAGACCCTTTGACTGCGTCCTTGCAACAAGCATCCCTCACATGCAAGTTGCTCTCCTCTTGCTTCCCAAGCCGAATGGTTCTTGAGGAGGCAGTTTGTGAGTCGGGAGTGTATCTACACCACCCTCTATTGCGTCCTACGGTCCTACTAGTAGCGAGGAACATTGCTCCCGTGCCGCCCTATTTCTTCCCATGCAGGAGCTGAAGTGTGAGGATGTCTCTGTCGCACTTGAAAATACTTGTGTCCCTTTGGGCATATATATTCATGCAAGTTTCTGCCCCTCCTCTGCAACTACATGCCAGGGTCGGTCCTCCAGGAGTTGAAGCAGGAGTGGGGCGCGTTCAATGGCAGTGCGACGTGGTTACCTGACAACGATTGTGCCGCCATCACGGGCGTCACTTGCAATATTGATGGCGATGTCAATGAACTGTGAGTCAAGTCACTGAGTCACTGCTGAGTCTGAGAAGTCCTGCTGCTGTCCATGGTGATATGAGATAGTTGTCATGTGGTTATCTTCCCTGCCTAGGGTAATATAGCATGATTTTGTGAGTCAAAGCCCTTTTTTCTCTATGCTATTGCCACCACAGCTTCTATGAATCTGGGACCCACGTGTGAGCCATATTGCCACAGACATGTCTCTTCGTTGTTTGTTTGGTATTTGTATCGTACTTTCATATGCCGGACCAAAGTTGATTGCTCATTCACGCTTTCACACAAACCACAACCCCATGTGCCCCATGGGCCTCATGCAGGCAGCTTGGTAACAAGGGACTCAGGGGCAGCATACCCGCTAGCATTGGCAACCTCACTGGGCTGAGCCTCCTGTAAGTGCGAGGCCATGGGCTTGTTTGTGTAGCCACATGTGCACGTGTAGGCATGTGATTCGATGCATGGCTGTCTGGCTGAATGGCTGGGTGGCCTCTTCCAATCCCCCTTGACCAACCCCAACCCCCCCGGCCTACTCCAACCCTTCCTGCACTACTCCCCAAGCCCCCTGCCCCGCTCCATCCCCTCCTCATTTCAACAGGGCAATTCAGGATATTTACAGGGGATGGAAGATGGGGAGAAGGCGGCAAAACACACAAAGAAGGAAGCTGTGAGCTGAGGTTTGGAATTGTCATGGTATTATCATGATCGGTGGGTGAATTTTCAACAGTTATGATAAAAGGCCATGGTATGCGTTTTATAGTGCATGTCCAGGAGTGGCATAAGGTATTTATGGTGTTGCGATGGGAAATGGCCTATGCATGGTTCTTCATGCTCCCATGCTCTTCCTTCCCTTGTGTCTGGAAACAGTGTGATTGTTGCATGATTTTGGCCCATGTCATGATAGCATCATGCTGCTGTTTTACATGCCGACGCCATGGTAATTTTGTGTTAGGGGGAAAAACGAATGGTGAGTGTGATGAGGACGCATCATGCAAATGTTCTTATCAATTGGCATTGTTCTCATTTCATGCAGGGACATTGCACACAATCAGCTCAGCAGCGCAATCTCTGCAAACTACAGTAGACTCGGAGGCTTGATGTGACTGTGAGTGCTTCCTTGAGGAGAGTTTCTATTCCCTTCCTTCTGTGCTCTTCCGTGTTGATCCAAATATCCACCCATTTTGTTTTCCATAAACCTGCCCTTATTTCTCCCATTCCCCCATGTCTATTGTCCCTTGCCTCCCCCCACCTCCTATTTCCGGACCCCTCACTTTCCCACCCCCCCCCTCCCCCCTCTTCCTCCCTAACCGTCCTCATCTTCTTCCTCTTGCCCCCCTCTCCGTGCCACATGGCATCAGGCGGCTGAATGCGAATCAGCTCACTGGCTCCATTCCAGGGGGCATGCTGTCAGCCATGCTCAACCTCAGACAACTGTAAGCACACCCCCCAACTCCTTCTTGCTGGTACATCCTGCTTCTCTCCACGTGCTCATGCTGCGCCTCTCTCCCGCCGCCTCCCTCTCTGCCGCCTGCCCCTCAGACTGCGCTTGACCTCTGGCCCTTGATTTCCTTGTAGCTGCGTCAATGAAGGTTTCTTCTAGCCCCTCATAATTTCTCATCCTTGGCCCATTGGTTGTTGTTGTTGTCGTTGTTGTCGTTGTTGTTGTTGTTGTTGTTGTTGTTGTTGTTGTTGTTGTTGTTGTTGTTGTTGTTGTTGTTGTTGTTCTTGTTGTTGTTGTTGTTGTTGTTGTTGTTGTTGTTGTTGTTGTTGTTGTTGTTGTTGTTGTTGTTGTTGTTGTTGTTGTTGTTGTTGTTGTTGTTGTTGTTGTTGTTGTTGTTGTTGTTGTTGTTGTTGTTGTTGTTCTTGTTGTTGTTCTTGTTGTTGTTGTTGTTGTTGTTGTTGTTGTTGTTGTTGTTGTTGTTGTTGTTGTTGTTGTTGTTGTTGTTGTTGTTGTTGTTGTTTTTGTTTTACATCTATGTCCATCTCTATCTCTCTTGCACCCCACTCCCTCGCAGTATTCATGACACCAACCAGCTAACGGGCACCATACCCAGCCAAGTTAGCGAGCTGCAACTTCTCACAGAACTGTGAGCCTTGGCATGATACCAGAATTACGTTTAAGATGTCCCCAAAGCTAAGTTTGAGTATATGCGTTTCACATTTTATGCCACAGCATATATCTGCAAGCATATAAATGCCATATGCTGCACGGGAGAGGGTCTGGTACATGCTGATTATACAGGCCTAGGCAGTCGATGTATTATTACTTCTTCATGCAGAAACATGCCATATTCATGCAAGGAGAGCTGAACCTGGTTGAAGCCAACCCTTTTCAATGATAAGTTGGCAGGAATTGGGAATGGACGGGTTGGAGTGGGTTGGTCAGCAATGAAAAGAAGGGGTTGATGGGCTTTGGATTCAAAAACAGATTCGAAGTTTAGTTCGCCATGTGCGTAACCCGATTTCGTTTTTGCACCATCGCGAAATGTGTCACACATGATATATGTGACATACATATGTATGTACGTGAACTAGAGCAACACCTGCAATTGTGAAAAGTCTGAATAGAGGGTCCAAGTTGCGGAGATAACTACTACAACGGGAGCTAGACTACGGGCTAGGCACGGGTGCTCGTGTGATCTCTGCGTTCATTGATCCTTAGTCGTTTTCCTAGTGCACACACTGCTTGCTAGTTCACGGGGCAAGTTGGCAAGAGTTTCACTAGAGAAAGCTGACAATAATTGTACAATGAAGTTGGCATGCAAGACTACATCAGAGGTAGCATTCAGGTCGGTCGACTGCC